CATACGTCTATCTAGACTTTTGGAAGATATCATAATTACACTAGGGGAAAATGATCAGATTTTTTTATTGTGAAGAATAATATAACAAAAAGCAAAAGTAAATAGCTACCTATTATTTATCTAATTTATTACCTCCTATCCTAATAATCTAATAATTGAATTGATAATAACAAGGCGCGCCTAAACACTTGAGCGCAGTCCTCTCGTCTCAACGGAGCGGTAGCGACTGATGTCTGAAATAGAAATATGCTTGAAGCTCCCGCAACGTGCGACGGACGATGAATTCTTGCGCGGAATAAAAACGTAGTATGCGCCAAAACTGTTATATCCAAATATATCCAAAACTAAAAGGAATTACATAAAATGCCTAAACAAAGCCTTTACTCTTGTAAAAGTATAATTAATTATCAAATTTTTGTCGCAATAGGCATTACCATATCGAGTACAAAACGGAAAAATATTAGAATTAGAGGTTACTTCGTGATTTTTTTCTATCGAGGAAATGTTATTATTTCATGTTTTTGATCAATGTGAACCCTCGGAAATATCATGTAGTTATCCACACATTTTTATTTTAAGATTTGGTCCGGAATTTTTCATGTAAAATCAAAAATAAGATTGGTAATTTTGCTTTATACGCCCTCTTAACACTTGAGAATTTATTCTTGACCATTCTCATATCAAAATTACTTGCGAAAGAAGTCTAGGAAAAAAGATATTGGATTTTGAATGTTTCGAGGTTAAGTACTAACATATTGTTAATGTTTTGTTTGAAACTAGATGGCGTTGTGTGTCAGATAGCCGAAAATATTATTTTCATTATTATTACAGTATATGAAATAAAAAAAATAAAAGCATAACATCTATTCGAGTTTAACACTAAATTAAACAAAAATAAAATAACAAACGTGGTGAGTCCGGAACTTGACAGGATCTAAACCACAGATTAAGAGATATGTACTAAAAGACGACGTATCGACATTTTGAAAATATCGATGTATGTCTATTTATGTGCCGTTTTCAATGACAATGTATTTTTCTCATCACACTGTGTAGTGGAAAATAACGTAACTATAGTCTTTTTCTTTAGTGTGTTTAAAATCGTTTAAAGAGAGTCAAAAATATTTTAAATCATTTCTAATTATGTTGATTCAGTCACTCTACCGTACGAGTGAAGACGTGGGCAGAAGCAAATTCATAATCATAATAGTGAACCTTCGGTAAATATTTCAGCCAAAGCTATAAGAATCGATTATCGATAAATTGTTCCATAATATAATATTGCCACCACGCATCCCTAGTCAGTTATACGTGATGGCGAATCTGACATTACGTACTTAGGTCAAATAAAATCTTCAAAAATATCTTATCTCTTATAAGACTTATACAACACATGGTGGTGTAATGATAAATCATAGAAAATTTTTTGATTAAGTTTACTGTGACTCGATTTTTTAAACGCTTAAGTTTTAGGTAAATATGTTTCTGCCATTGTTCTTTAGGTTTCGGCAAAATTATATTACATATTAAAACACCATATTATGTGGAGGTTTCTTATTATTAGTGGAGGCAGGTCACTGACCTCTAATGATGTAGCCGCTCCTACGTCACTAAGGTACGAACGAGGTAGGTTCTTCCCCAAGAGAAGCAGTCTCAGGTATGAGTGTTAAAACTCGTTTTAAAATTTCATTTGAATCACTTTCCAAGTCGTATCGGTCCGGAAATACCGCAGACGATAACTTGTCCCAGAGATTGGCTGTGCTTGTGCTGTGCGAGGCAAAGGTTGTTCAAGTTGTCTTGAAAAGCGGACAGTGGTAGAGTGCCAATTATCCAAGTGGCGGTCGGGATTAGTCTGGCCGGTATTATTAATATTATACTGAACACTTAAATGTTTTATGTATTAGGCAAAAAATCAAATAAATCGTTGGCTTCGTTGCCTTTGATAAGTGTTGCTAACATTGAATTTGCAATTAGTTAAAAGCTACATTTCTGACAACAAAGAATTTCATTTATAAGAGACTAGTTTTTGCGCGCGACTTTGTCCGCGTGGAATTAGTAATTTGGGTAGCTAATTTTTCAATCCAATCTGCTATTTCGTCAATCTTCTTATTATTTAAAAAAAAAAATTAGAGTTAAAGGAAACAATTCAATGAATAATTGGTAACAGCGAGGTATAATTTTGAGATTTTTGAGATGCCCCATACTAACTTCCACCCCTCTTTTCACACCCTAAAATGGCTTATTGGTCAAAAACAAGTCTTATAGTCCTTTTTATGGATTCCCTTTACAAATTGCCACCTTTTATACCTTTAAGGGATGATTTCGGGGATAAAAACTATTCTATATCTTTCACAACTTGAATTATCTCTATACCTAATTTCATCTAAACAAGATCAGTGGTTATTCATTCCCCATGCAAACATCTACTCCTCTTTTCACCCCCTTAAAAAATGATTTTTGGGACAAAAACTATCCTTTCCCTGGACTCAAACTATCTCCACACAAAATTTCAACTAGGTTTAGCGGTTTAAGCGTAAAGAGGTAAAAGAAAGATACACTTTCGCATTTATAATATTAGTATGGATTAGCTGGTATCCGCGACTTCGTTCGCGTGGAATTTGAAAAGCACTGCCTTAGTGGTGTAGTACAGTACGCGACTGTCCATAATGCCTCGGGTTCAATTCCTGGATCCGGCATATTTTTTAAGGGTTTGTCTGCGAGGAAAAATAGCTTAAGTTACTTCTTATATAGGCAGCTACCTGGTAGTAAAATATTATCAAAATCGGTCCAGCCGTTTTGAAGATAACCCGAAAAAACAGACAGACAAATATATTTAAACTGGTTTTTAGGCATAGGTATCGTCGTAGCGTATCGTGCAAATAACCGTATGAACATGAAAAAACCTATTATTTTGACATTACAAACAGATACTTTACTTTTATTTATTTGTTGTTACTCAGCGATTATATTCTATCCATATAAATACATGTTACATGTTCATTATATCTATGACTTATTCTTAAACATACAACAATTACATTAATCATTAAATATTAATAACAATAATATTTTTCACTGAGATCTGCCGTGGATTCGTTTGCAAAATATTTATTTTAATATTCTTGAATTATGTACGTATCTTTTTTAACTTGTTTATTTTTTGTTTCTGGTATCCAAAACGGCATGCGGTTTTTAGTCGGTTCGAGTCCGACATAGGGACCGGTGGGTGGTATTCGAGGGGATTTCTGCACAGAAAAAAAAGTGTACTTGTGTGTAAAAAAGTGTAACATTTTTAGTTGACTTCATGGAATCACAAGACTTAGCAACTATAGCAACTTTAAAATTTATTGTTATGACTTTGAAGTATTTATTTTTAGCCATTATTAATATAGTTTTAATTTTGATAGTAAAAATAATAAAGATTTGTATAAAATTATGGTTAAGAATCGATTTTATAATAATTTCGTTTGTCCCGGGTTCTCTCACATAGTTTATTAGTTTTGTAGCCCTTGGGTTTATTTTTTTAATTAAAGAGATTCTCTGTATCTCTGTACCTGTCTCTGTATCTGTATGTCTGTAAAATTACACGATAATCGGATAAACGGTAGCGCATGAATTACGAACAGACAAACAGTGATTTTAATAAATAATAGAATCGAATACTTAACGTTTATCGTGAAGAGGTTCATTACATTGACATATTGGTGGATAACGTTTATTGTTTCATAACATACCTAACCTAGAAAGTGTTTATCAGACTTTAACTCTGTTTAATAACCTTTATCCATTACAAATACTCTTCACGGACAATATTTTTTCATAAAATCTCTACCTTATCTTAAACTAATATCTATGCTAATATTATAATTGCGAAAGTAACTGTTTTTATTTCTGTTAAGCTGTTATGGCCTGAAAACGCAACAACTTTACATACACATTGTGAGTCGTATAAGGAGGACAGAAGATAACTTTTATCAAGAGTAACACTATGCATTATACGTGTGGTGACGGATTAAGAATACAAAGTGTCACCACTCTTATTCATCCCGTAGGTGTCGTAAGAGGCGACTAAGGGAGCAAACTACGAAGGACAACAGTACTGAAGAGTGAAGGAAAACTTGACACAAACCCTATACCAACCCGTCTGGCCAGCGTGGTATAGTAGGCCAAAACCTCCGTTCTAAGGAGAGGCCTATGTCCAGCAGTAGACTAGTAAAAGTAAAACTCGAATCGTCTATTGCTATGTTTCAGAAATCCATACTTCAATACTTATAAGTGTGAAAGTGTGTTTGTTTTATGATTTCACTTCTAAACTAACAAACCGATTTTAAAAAGTTCCGCAGTAAAAAGTAGCCTTTGTCCTTCCTCAGGAATCAAAGTATCTGTATGTCAAATTTCATTAAAATCGGTTCAGCGGTTAGGCCGTAAGAACGTTAAAGACAGACGGACAGAGTTACTTTCGCATTTCTAATATTAGTAGGGATTATCATCGTGGATTTTTCCAGGATGATAAGAAAAAAGAAGGATGTAAAAATAACATTGCATTCTGTAGTAAAACAATAGAAATATTGTAAAATAATTTATTGGATGGTCCATTACATACATGACATGGATAGTACTATAACATGATAGTGTTATAAAGCTACCACTGAACTATGGTTAAGTGACTTTAAGTACTAAGTATTAACTCTTAAATTATACATAAAGGGGCAGACGAACAGGCTTAGTGTCCCACGGATGTTTGGGAGCAGGAGCCCTTGGATTAAAAGGTGTTATTCTAGGTAATGGCATTTTCAACGACCTCGCGTTGCGACGATTGTATCCAGGATGAATTGGCCCTGTGTCGTGGCTCGAAGACTGATGGGTGCCACCTTCTCTAAAAGCTCTAGGAGTACTCAAGCTGCGAGCTACTCTCATGTTCGGGTCCAGTTTGATATCATCGATGTATTTCGGCAGAAATGGGTGATCGCCTGTCGCTGGTGCTTTGGGAAAGTCATCACCTTGAAATAGCCACCGGGGTTCATCATTAGCTCTTCTCGCTCTCATGATGACGGGTTGCCTCGGTGTCGGAGGAGGTCGGTAAGTTGGGAATATGAACTGACATGATGTTTCGCAAACCAACACTGTTGCGAATACACCGAGGATAAGTTTATACATGTTGATGGTTTGAAGAACAGTCTTGAACTGATGTTTTGACAGGGATGCAATATCTATTTATACAAGATTAAAAGGTAAAAGATGGTTATGTACCTATTATGATATGAAAATTGTAAAAAGGGAAGAACCGCAGTGTTTACGGTAGATGTTTCCTCGTTGCGTTCTTTATAGATAATATATTGTTTCTGATTAACTATTCAAAGATCGTGAACTTAATAATGAGATGAATAATCACAAAAGTTAACTATAAATAGTAATGAAAACATTTAGAAGGCTAAACCAATCTGAATAATTTCCAAATTATATTTTAAAGACGTAACAATTTTATGCAATTTGAGATAATCTTGAAATATTCCTAAGGATTTATTTCAAATATATGCTGTTATTTAAGTTAAAAATGTGTTCACAAAACGTAAAATCAAAATGGCAAACCAGCTACGTAAAAAATATCAATTTTCGTTTCAAATATAACTTTATTTCTTAACTTTTAATCTTAACAAAAATGTAACAGGTTACTGTGATTTCCTAAAATCGTGTTTATTTTTGAACTGTAATGTATTATCATATGTATATAATAATAATACATTACATATATTAGTATATACATATAAGTGTTCCGTATATATATTTATATATAGAACACGGCGTGAACCATTTTCATTTACATATATATATGTGTAAATGAAAATGGGACATTAGCTTTAAACACCTACTTAGTATCTTTAGCATTCAATTTAAAAAAAACCGTTTAAAAGTCGTGGCCGGTTCAATTTTCAGTTTTAAAGCCAATGCCTACTAAAATAATTAAATCAAATAAAAGTAATAGTTTGTATACAATAACGCACCTATCTTATGTTTCTAAGTCTTATATATATAACACTTAATTTTACGAGGACTGTTATACAATTTATTTTAAATACACGAAATTACCCTAACAATTTTGTAATGAACACGATCTGTGATAATAAATTCTGTGTCATGGTTTAATTTGTCTAACGTATTGTCACGAAATATCGCGAAAGTTCGAGAAAGAAAGAGAGAGAGTTCATTAAACCGCGCAATTCTAGGAATAGTTCTAGTAATAATGCAGGGTGGCACGGAACAATGAGTTTTATAACAATACGAATAATATCGAAAATAGATTATCGCGGGATTATCTTGTTTACATTTCAAACAAATTTGTATTTCTTGACAACAGAAACTTATCATAAGGATTAGAATTCACTACAATTAACCTTCTAGTAGTCTTACGAGTAATACAAATACAGGCACGTCTTCGCCGGTCAGTCAGTTCAGTTTGAGCTACAGTGCGATAAACATTGAAGCGATCTAAGCGAACAGAAGAGTAACCCAGCGACCTCGGCGATCATTTCTGACTAATATTCAGTATTATTAGAACGTCTTTAAGTGTGTTACTTACACAAAGTATCTTTAGTCGTCAGAAGGTATATTATTTCAAATCAACGAACCCTAATACGTAACATATATGTGTATTATAGAAATATATAAGTATGTTCATTAAAAATATATGTGCCCGATTGATGGCACAAGGCTAACCTCCTATTATATAAGTGGGAATAATTTAAATACAAAAATAAACTTAACAACAAAATGTGGGCGTGTAATATGCTTGTGTCTACCCTTTCGAGAATAAAGATATGAGTGCATGTATCTTTCGGCTACTCCCGTGTTTTTTTTTCCCCCTAGCTGACAGCGTGAATGCAAAAGTTTCATGATAATTGGCTAAGCAGTTTAATCATGAAAGCGTTACAAACAAACAAACCCTTCCTCATTTATGTTAACTACCATGATTGTGCCAATAGATTTGATATCTGCGAAGTCCAAATCGTTTCCAGCGATATTGGAAATAAAACACCTGGCTTCACCCTAAAGGCACTAATAAATATTCATCTACAAAATAGTTATTCTTCTCATCACAAGAAAGTAGACCAGTAGACCACGTTCAATATAAAGAAGGAGAAGGGGAAGAAAAATCTTGAAAAGCGGTCTATGTAAACCGCAGTCTCACGTCCGTTGCAGAAGGTGTCGTATTGAGGAATCGATGCGGATGTACTGGCGCGATTGTCCACTGGCGTTGGGAATATGTGCTAAAAGAAATGAAATAATTGACTTTAAAAAAGGAGAACTGACTCCATTGAGCCTGCATCACATTAACTGTTTTCTGCCTTTCTAAATTTTCTAAAATGAAAACATACATTCATATTTAAAGAATAATACCACCGTTACTATTCTTTAAATATGTCAATCGAGAAGTAAATGTACCCTTTCAAATAAAAAAGAATTTTGCAAATCGGGTCAAAAATGACAGTTAATCTATACTAATATTATAAAGCTGAAGAGTTTGTTTGTTTGTTTATTTGTTTGTTTGTTTGAACGCGCTAATCTCAGAAACTATTGGTCCGATTTGAAAAATTCTTTCCGTGTTAGATAGCCCATTTATCGAGGAAGGCTATAGGCTATATATCATCACGTTAAGACCAATAGGAGCGGAGCACCAATGAAGAATGTTTCAAAAACGGAGAAAATTTATTACTATTGAGAGACGCAGACGAAGTTGCGCGGGTCAGCTAGTGGATAATAAACATAAGAACATAAGACGAATTGAGAACCTCTGTAATTGTTAAAAGTCGGTTAAACATAAGACGATAACAATATTCGCGAACAAAAAACTAAACAGAGCCAAAAATTTACAGCCTGATAAATTATTTCAAATATAAATATAATATTGAAAACTGATATCCATAAAAATACTGCACGGATGGCGTAGTGGTTTAAGCGGTCGCCACGTGCTTCCTACTACGCCGAATGTTGTGGGTTCAAACCCCACATGGGACGACAGTTTGTGTGATCCACAAATTGTTGTTCTGAGTCTGGGTGTTCTTTGTCGAGTCCCCCGCGACATAGGATATATTCCTAATGCGGAAGTTCTCTTTTTAAAACAAATAAACAAAGTAGCTGATCAAAAGTATACACACCTTAAAAGCATCCAAATCCCTCGAAAGATCCTCATCAGAGTACCCTTTCATGGCCTTGGTAGCCACTGGGCCCATATAGTTGTTCACAACAGCGAACTCGAAGAGCGAAAGGAACACGAAGACGGAACAGGACGACATCCAAACGTCTATAGCCTTGACATATGAAACTGGTGGTAGACTTTGCTGGGATTGAGTATTTTGAGTGGCTGTGGAGACAAATAAAGATAGTAGGATCTCTCAAATTTCATAATATATACTTTCTAATATCTTATCGTTGTAGATTCTTGTCGTAGGAGACCCATCATCATCATCAGCCTATCGCAGTCCACTGCTGGACATAGGCCTCTCCCTTTGCACGCCACTTAGATCGATTAGGAGCAAGAAGACCAATGCTTCAGTACAGAAGAGGGCTGACTAAAGTGGTACTACGGCCTCACGGAGAACCGGTGTTAGACAATTTTTTCACTGCTTTTCAATGAGTGAGTAACAGCGAAAAGCACTACATCGGAATGGTGTCTCTTGAGTCGCATGTGTTCATGACCAGCGCTAGTCACTTACCATCTGGTGAACAGTATATTCTTTTGCCCCTATACTAAATATTCAAGGTTAAGTAGTCTGTCAATATTTGAACTTTAACTTATATGCGATAACTACCATTTTACGACTAATTGGGATTTCCCGGCGATAAATGTTTTAACCTTTAGTGGAAGAAAATAAACAGTTATAAAAATATAATAAAGTTATAACTGAAGCGATAATATTTTAATAGCAAATAGAAAAAATACTATTTTCAAGTTACCTTACCTAAAGTCAGTAATGATGTTACACCCAGTGTGACCCTAGCAGGTATTGCTTCAGGCTTGATCCAAAAAGATATCCAGGACATGACGACGATCAGGGCTGATGGAATATACGTATGGAACAGATGATAGCCTAACCTTCGTCGGAGGTTAAACACTACGGCTAGGCAGGTGAAGTTACCTGAAAAAAAGGTTTAAAATTAACATTTAGAGCTTGAACTGTCTGAATTTGTGTTAGATTTTATGTTGTAGTATGATAAGTGTTGGTCTTTGAGAATTTAGAAGTCAAAAACCCAGTACTTGCTGTTTCTGGCCTCTGTCACGGGGCAAGCGGAGAAACAGTAGGATTCAAGACATGTTCCACTTTTACCACGATACGAGTAGAACACCAAGCAAAAGCAGGACCGTCTTCCCAAATAAAAAAGATGTAATACTACTTCTTTTGCCCAGGGGCGCTGAAATATTCTAACATCTGTTAATTGTAAATTTCCTGGATATTATAGTTTATCAAACATACGTTTATAAGAAAGAACTACTTGCCAGTGGAGTATTCAATTGTGCAATCAGATGTGTAATTATTTGAAATATCTAGCTGAGGCAGTTCAATGTCAGGGTTCACTACCAAAGGATCTGTCACGTTCCAGATGAACACCAAGTCGTGGACTGTGTGGGATACTGAAAAAAGGAGGATGTTTTTAATTCATTGCTTTTAATATGTCTACTAGATTTTACTTTGGGTAAGTTTTTTTCAAGAACTACTTACAGCTTTCAATCATCATGGAACAGCTTTGTGTGTCGTGTGGATATGTCTCGAACTTCATGGCGCACGATAGAACCAATGTTAGTCTGTAATTACAAGAAAAATGTGTCATGGATATTACTAAATTTAGAACTTTTATTGAATTTTTATTTTATTTCATTTAGGACAATAAACAATTGTACAATAAGTTTAATATTAGTGGAAATAGATAACAGTAATTAATACAACCAACTTAATTTTTCACGTTTTACAAATTGAGTCTTAATTACACCGGTGCTTTCGCTGTGCAAGTCTTGTTCTAAATTGGTATAGTCATAAAATATATAGTATAGTATAGTATGTATTGTATAGTGTGGTATAGTAATAAAATAAAAATAGATTACTGTTCAAGTGGAGACTTTGTATAAAAAAAATATGTTTGGAATTTTAATATACGCTGAACTACATACATATATACCCTCTACCCAAGGATAGAGGCGCCATATCCTAAAGCACAGGTTGCCAACCTAGTTCAGCAACGGAGGCAACTAATATGACAAACTTGGTATATTCATTGGTTTATTTTTAAGTTGATAAGATTTGTGGATAAGACTCATAATTTGGAACAATAAAATATAATAATATATTTGTTAAATCGTTAGTGTTTTTTTTTTTGTTGCGTGGCAGTGGGTATCCATAAAAATCCATGTATATAGAGTGCTGTAACAATATCCTCTAATGAACTAACTTTTTAAAATTCACCCTGAAGTTGCCCCTGAAAGAATCGTGAATTATACATTGAATCGAATGCTGGATCAAGAGTCGCACTTATGCTTTCTGCAGTTATGACTGACTTGCATATCAGGTAGACAAACAAAATAAAGGCAAAAGAAAATATAAAAATCTTAAACTCACTTCGACATATAAAGTAACGTCTTATCATGATACAACCAGAGGTAATGATTGGGAATGCTCATTTCATGGAAGGTGACTTTTTTTGCATTCTTGAAGAAGCAGTCGGGCCGCCAGATCTTATTTAACCAATCAACGTCGAGGATCCGGTACTCCTCGTGCATGTTCTCCGGTAATCGGAGTCTAGGGTCTCGCCAAGATTGTGCTAGGAAGATGTCTGCCACATACGTCTGAAAGTAATAGTCAATACAGAATTCATGAATTCGAAATATTAAAAGTAAAAATAGCAACTTGTGCCTAACACACGATTATTTGTCCAGGGTGAAAATTGAACTTACAACCTCTCGCTCAGCAGTGAGGGTCACTCACCACTAGATGAACAGTCCCGTTATATTACGAGTACCGATATTGATATGTAAATTTAATACATAGTTTAAAAATACATGTTTTATTTGTTCATCATTATCATCATCAATAGTCCACTGCTGGACATAGGCCTCTCCTTAGAAAGGAGGTTTTGGCCTACTATACTGGTCAGACGGGTTGGTATAGGGTTTGTTCAAGTTTTCCTTTCTTTTGCAGTGGTGTTGTCCTGCGTAGTTTGCTCCATTAGTCGGTCCCACGGGAAGAATAGGGGTAGTGACACTCCGTACTCTTAATCCGTTACCACACGGACGAATTAAGAATACGGATATGAATTGGGAATAAGTTTTATTAGTTAACACGCATTTATGTACAAAATGCACACTTGTTTAAACCTTGTATAAATTTTTATATTATATTCATTGATTTTGCTAATTTGCTTATTAGATGATCTATATTGAATCAACACCAACATTATAGCTCCTTTGTGGATATCTACACACACCGACATCTCGCGTAGATTAGATAAACTATTAATACCAGTAAGTATTAATATAAAAATGCTCTACGATTGTCCCGGAGCCACGTGCATACTCTCTTACACAGAGAAAAGAGACCCCATATGTCTAGTTGAGTCTGTTATGTTATTTAGTTAGGAAATATCGACTATTTATTCTGTTGACTGATGACACTTGGTGGCACTTGCACACATATTGAATTATGTCACTTGAACTGTTCCACAATGTTTATTAATTTAACCTGACCGGTTTCCCCTCACGGCATTTTCAGAGGGTATAATATGCGGGCATAATATATGGTATAATATATATAACAAAATATGCAGGTTTCCAAAATAGATATTGTGGAACAGTACAAGTGACTTAATTTAAAAATTTCAATAAATTCATAATCATACCATGCTTTCTTCATTGATGGAGTCTAGAGACAGTACGGTGACGTGGAAGTAGACTATCGTAGGTTGTCCCTGAAGCTTCGGGGCTCTGTTTTTATCGTAGAACTTTGCCTTTTCCGGAAGTATATCTCGTAAAGACAGGCTTGACTCTGACTTTATTTCTATTTCTTGATAGGATGCATTTGTTCTGTAAAAAGACCATTATCAAAACCCCCTCAATGTTCAAAGGAAAGATTTTGGCGTCATAAATTTTATGTTACTTTTAAATTATTTGTAAATTGAGGAAATTTGTCGCCACGCCGCTACCTACGACGCTGAGTGTTGTGGGTCCGATCCTATGGGACGGGATGGGACGACACTTTGTGTGATCCACAAATTGTCGTTCTAAGACTGGGTATTCTGTGTGCCTCTATATATATATATCTGTCTGTCTCTATATATATCTGTTTGTAAAGTCGCCCGTGACACAGGATATATTCCTAGTGCGGTGTCTTTCTAAAACAAATTGTTTCATTTTCACCGAGTGAGTGAGGTAGCCGGGGGGCCAAACCCCTCCTCCTCCTGATTCTGAAAGAGGGTTTAAAGGACGGCAGCGTTGCCGTGGCTGGTGACTTTTAAGTAGCAAGTTTCCATAGGCGTTAGTTACCAACCATCAATTGGCCCGTCTGCTAATTTGCCCTCCTGTGCCATAAAAAAATATTCATCATCATCATCAGCCTATCGCAGTCCACTGCTGGACATAGGCCTCTCCTATTGCACGTCACTTCGATCGATTTTTGGCTTCTGGTATCCAGCTCCTGCCAGCCATCTTACGCAAATCGTTACCCCACCTGGCCTGTGGGCGTCCTACACTGCGTTAAAAATAATTACATATCGAAAAAGAGTTAGAGATATACTCACAAAAAACTAACAGCAGCTTGTACTCTGCTCGCTTCACTCACTCTCATGTTTACAATAGTCACAATTATACACGTTAAAACCACTGACTTCATTTTTATAGTTATTTCACTTGAAATAATCACCGTGAACAGTTTTTTTTAATGAACACCTTTATATTTGAGCCGCATTTTGTGTCAAGGATTTAGAACCTGGAAAAAGAAGTTTTAACCAAAAAACCGAGATCGTCACACTGTCTGGCATGTTCGGGATGCATAACTTATTGGTCCAGAATGTTATTTGAACTTTTAAAAGCCTTGCATAATATTTATATTAAACTGTAGAAACTTATAATATGTTTCGTGTGAAGTTATGGATTCGGCAACATCTTTATTGCGGTTTATTCAGTGCAGAGACAGCTAACATGCTAACCCCTTCAATGTGTGGGGTAAAAAATAATATCTAACTAAATGTGGGTAAAGTACGTATTCACCAATCTCTAGAAGCTTTCTTTTCAACTGAACTGAAAATCCTAATATTCTCATGAACTTCTTGAACTAAGAACACTTTTTTTTCCTGTGCGGAAATCCCCTCGGATATCACCCACCGGTGGGGTAATTATATCGGACTCGAACCGACCAAAAACCGCACGCCGTCTCGGGTACCAGTAGCCGGGGAACCAGGTGTACTCTAGAAAGGAACTCCTTGGTACCCCAACGTACCTGGGGCCATCCACGACGTGTAGATGACCCCCTCCTAATGTAAGAAAAAAAGTTTTTTACTAAATACACCTAATGTTTCATAAGAACTTAATTGGCTATTAGTTTTTGGTTTTAGATATTAGAATATTTATTGTTATGAAGTAAAAGCGGATATTTAAATTTAATAAAATTCGACAATAATTATAATCATATTAACGTGTCTTTAGATACCATGAATATACTGAGGTTTAGTTACAACAACAGAGGTCAGAGGTACAAAAATATCTTAGGCAAGTTTTTATCGCGTCAAAATCAATACGTCGTAGTGTAATAACGTTGTATGTAAATAAGTACATTCACGTGCAAACTACAGCCCCAACCTTGATGTTATAGAATACATATTATTCTTGTAATAGTTGAAGACTTACGCCCTTACAACTATAATCCATTTATATGAGTTAGTGTGCAACATTGCATTAGAAGGCTATATTTGTAACTGCATTCGATCTACGTTTAAATGTGCGACCTTCGAAGTTCGTGCTATACCAATCTACACACAATAAATTGCTGCCATAGTTAGACATTTCTTAATTAGAAAAAGTTTTTTCTACAAAAGTGATAAGTGTGTCATAGGGCCTTAAAATTTCTAGCGTATGACAACAGTTTGTAGTCTTTAGAAATTTAATTAACTTGCTAACTAATAATGAGTTCTAGAGTCCCCTTTGGTGTCGATCAGATAGTTTCTAACTAAGCTAACGATTATAACCTGCAACTATACAAAAAACGCCTCTACTAATCCCTCTAACATAAAAGGAGGAGAAGGAAGGAGGAAGGAAGGAAGTTTGCTTATGCCGACCAGCTCCAAAATTTCAAACAATTCAATTCAATTCCAAACTTAATTTAACATCAACAAACTTGCATATTTAATTAATACCTGTTAATGAGAACGTCGGGATTTAGAATATAAAGTTACTTAACACATCACAATTATATATACATTGTAGGAGAACACAACAGCGGACGTGAACGTGGATAATAGGGTAGGGCTTCCCTAGATAATGGTGTCACAATATAGTGTTGTCTCCCTCTATTGTCTTATCTATTTTATTGCATTTCAATAGCAAATAAGTTACAAATATACCTGTATATGTTTGTATTATAGTCTAAACTTTTGCAACAACTAACGACAGCTATCCTTCCATCCCTTCATCCATTCCTTTTCTCAAGATACACTTCATAAGTAATAATTGTAATAATTGGTAATAATTTCATAAGTATTTGTGAGACAGTTTTCGGCGCGATTTTGTTGTTGCTGTTAAGTTGTGAATTTACGCGATATTTTTTCAAACCGTGCATTTATATTGCGCGCCGTCTGTGTTGTGATGATGATGAAATGATGATTTGAAGCAAATAAATCAAATTAGAAGCAACTATCCGCTCTAACTAAGAATCGGTAATGCCATAAGTAAATACGTTTATTTCTTTATGCGATATAGATAGTGTGTAAATTTCTTAATTTTTACATTGAAAAATAGCTAACTTTATTTGTTTGCTTCGCTAGATATCATTACGATCGATCAGACATTTAGTCGTAAAAAGAGATGTAAATTAACAGACCGACAAACAAATTTACACATTCATAACATTAGTACAACCAAATGTAGTAATGTGTCTTAGATGTAATTTAAGAGGAAAAGACGACGATGTAAAGGTAGCCGTAGATTGTAGCAGAAACAATAAGATTTGTGTTACGGCTGCCTATAAACATCCGAAACCTCAATAGTGTTCCCATAGTTTCACCAACTTTACCACAGGGCACTTCAAATGTCCGCTGAATTCCATCAGACCGACCGACTAAGAAAGCACCAAAAGAAAACCTTGGTTAACATTTTCTGTGCTTTTTAGATCACAACATATAAACACCAAATTGTATTTAACTTGTTAGTAAGTAGGTATTTATATCATTTAACTTGAGAACTTAAGTATTACACACTTATTCTCCAGCCGTTAATTCACTATCCAATAGTATTTTCATTTTCAAGACACAAATCCATTTTTTAGAAATTGTTAACATCTTGACACTACACGACTCTGTTAAACAGTATTGAGGCCTTATGTATTCTGTGATAGAGGCGACCTGAACTGGAAGTGTGAAAAAAATGGAAGTACCTTTGTTAAAAAGAGGAAGCGAGAGCGAAAAGCGGATTGTATAGAGCCCCTAATGCTTCAGCAGCAAGTGCAGCGGTATTCTCAATGCAGAAATATTTACACTCTTCTTTCAGACCTGGTTTTACTTCATTACGGTCTGTTTTAATTACCAAAAAGAGATTTACACTCAAACTCGTGGATAAACAATAAAGAAATAGTGAACACAACTAGTATTGGTTTTGGTAATTCCGTTGACTGTAGGTATAATTCTGGAAGTAAAGCTCGATTTATTTCATAATTAACTTTTAAAAAAGTATCAGGAGTACAAGTATCAGCAGGACAATAGCACTACAAAGAGAAGGCCAGCAAGGTATAGTAGGCCAAAACCTCCTTTCTAAGGAGAGGTCTCTGTGCAGCAGTGGACCACTCTTACTAAAAGCTGTTGATGATGATGAAAAGTATCACTGACTTTAATGTGTCTACATTATGAAGAATTTTAAGAAACTGTTTTCTTCGTTCCTTAATTTTCCCATCTTTAGGATTTAAAGAAAAAATATGGCGATATGAATTGAATGAGACCAAACGGGAAGGAGACCCTCCCAAAGAAAAAAATATCTACAAATGATAGAGTTCCGAAGTTACAAACAAATAAAAATACAATCGAACTGAGCATCTCCTTTTATTGAAGTCGTTTAGCAAAGAGCTTTACTAGAATACGTTGATAAACAGCAAAGAAATAGTAAACATAATTGAAAACTGGAAATTAACCTATATATAGGTATTATATATGTATATTTCAAATTGGGTAACGACAGCATTTTAAGTAGGTAGGTATATACATACCTACTTAAAATGCTATTGTTGTGTAAAATATATATTTTACTGTAATTTGCTAGTTATTGCACTATGTCCACACCCTATGTCGGGTCGGCATAACAAGATTACCGACAGCGCGGGTAAACTGCCGAGACCTTGCGCCACTTATTGCAATTTACCACCCCCCTCCCCCCCTTCTAATCATTGATCAAATTTTAGACTCTATCGAACGTTAAAACCTCGTCTCTGATACACCTAGAATTACTAATATAAAACTGAGTTTGAAATCCTGAATCCTACACTACATATTTGTGTAAGGATTTGGGTGAAACATCTCTATACCAAAAATAAACCAGATTGAGTCAGACTAAGCAAGACTAGACTTAAGTTGAAGATTCTAAACTGACAAGAAGGTCAAACCTAAAAGCTATGGAGAAATTTTCTTTTCAAATGTTATATCTTACGCGATATACAGTATATGTTTTACAGATTATTTATCTGTATTTTGTCTGCTTTGCTGTATAAATGTTTTATGATTCTTTTACATTTATTCTGTCTGTAAGAAAATGTTTTTTAGCGATAAGGCCGCCATTTGTACATGGTCATCAATTTGAAGTTCTATTGTATGTACTTATGTATGTATGATGTACTAAATTGGTGTAGGTACAATACAACTTATCTATTATATTCTATGTAATTGATTGTACTCTGAATTGTAATTCCTCACAAAAACCTTTAAAAAAATTATTCGTGATTCTACCGTAGCTAGTTATGATGTAACGTTATAATATTTCATACAAAAATGTACCGCGTCTATCGTTTCAACGTTTAATAAAAAGACACTGATTTGACTTGACAGTAATTTACCCGATTTCAAAAACAACACAATCTTAACGACTACGTTGCGCTTTAACATATTGGGCCGCGGGAATCCCTGAGAACACGATTAGGTTACCCACTTATTGATCATTTGCGGTATAGGCTTTCTTATTTTACGGCTACGTGCTTAGAACTATCGCATGTTCTATCTCACTATGGTACTTTCTGTCGCTGACATCAGCAGTGTTCGTTGTGAGTGATGGCAAAGGCCAATTATTATACTTATACCAGCTTTTGAACGTGACTCTGCCAACGTATATGTCGGTTATTGCGGTAAAAAGTAGCCTATGTTAATCGCTGATAATATAGCTTTTCATTTGTGAAATAATTTTTAAAATCGGTTTAGTGGTTTAGGCGTGAAAACATAACAAACCAACTAACTCTCTTTCACAATATTATAAGTATGGATTGGATCTGTCGAGAGCGTAAAAGCGTTAACATATGCAGTTATTTACAGGTCAGGCACTACAGAAAAAAATACAATTTGTTAACTATTGTCATGGATTATCAACGGCCGTGCGGCAATACGTGTTGCATTTTTTTTTGACATATGGTCATCTATGGGAGCCGGC